GTTGATGAACACTTAGATTGTTTTTATATCTTGGCTGTGGAATAATGAACACGTGACTAGAGCTGTCTCTTTGAGATATTGATTTCTCTTGGATACATACCCAGAAGTGGGATTGCTGAATCATGTATGTGGTAGCTCTGTTTTTAATTTCTTGAGGAAATTCCATACTGTTTTCCGTAGCTGCTGCTGCTCAGTCACTTCAGTCGTGTCCGACTCTGTGCGGCCCCATAGATGGCAGCCCACCAGGCTCCCCCGTCCCTGGGATTCTCCAGGCAAGAACACTGGAGTGGGTTGCCATTGCCTTCTCCAAAGCATGAAAGTGAAAAGTGAAAGTGAACTTGCTCAGTTGTGTCCGACTCTTCGCAACCCCATGGACTGCAGCCCACCAGGCTCCTCTGTCCATGGGATTTTCCAGGCAAGAGTACTGGAGTGGGTTGCCGTTGGCTTCTTCAGTTTTCCATAGTGACAGCACCAATTTACATTGCTAGCAGCAGTTTACAGGGGTTCCCTCTTTTCCACTTCCCAGCATTTCTTTCTTTTTAAAAAGACATTTATTTATATATTTATTTATTTGGCTGTACCCTGCCTTAGTTGCAGCACTCAGGATCTTTGATCTTCACCGCAGCATGCAAACTCTTAGTTGGTGCATGTGGGATCTATTTACCTGACCAGAGATTGAACCCAGGGTCCCTGCATTGGGAATAGGAGTCTTAGCCACCAGACCACCAGGGAAGTACTCCTAGCATTTATCTTTTTTCTTTTTCATAAAAGTAATCCTAACTGGTGTGTGATGATAGATCATTGTGGTTTTAATCTGCCTTTTCTTGATAGTTATGTTGAGCACGTTTTCATGCACCTCTTGGCCATTTGTATGTCTTTTTTTGGAAAAGTGTCTATTTGGGTCCTTTGCCAGTTTTTAAATTGGGTTACTTGCATTTTTGTTATGGAGTAATATGAGTTCCTAGTTCCTTACATATTTTAGATATTGATTCCTTATCAGATATAAAATTTGCAAATATTTCATATAGGGGGTCTGTTCCCAGAACAGAGCTGTCATCAGAGGTATCTGCAAATATGGACTGGGTGTGGTGTGGGAAACCCGGCAGGGCCTACAGGTCAAATTCCAATCTGTGTCCCATTGTCTGCATGGCCCATCAAACATTTATGTACCAAACATTTGCTTTTCCATCATCATATGAATTGCCTTTCTCCCCTGTGAAGTCCCAAACCACTATTCCCAATATCCTTTTTTGTCTTCAGGTGAAGATGGTATTTAAGGTGAGGACTTTAGCTATTTTGGTTAATTACTCAGTCTTCCATGGTCTCTTTCATGTATGGAGAAGGAAATGGCAACCCACTCCAGTATTGTTGCCAGAAAAATTCCATGGACAGAGGAGCCTGGTGGGTTATAGTCCATAGGGTCGCAAAGAGTCAGACATGACTGAGCAACTAACTTGGAGGGGCTTGCCATTGTCCCTGGTGGCTTAGTCAGTAAGGAATCTGCCTGCAATGCAGGAGACTGCCTGCAGTATAGGAGACCAGGGTTCGATCCCTAGGTCAGGAAGTTCCCCTGGAGAAGGAAATGGCAACCCATTCCAGTATTCTTGCCTGGAAAATCCCCATGGACAGAGTAGTCTGGCAGGCTACAATCCACGGGATTGCAAAGAGTCAGACACGACTGTGTGACTAAACCACCACTTTCATGCATACATGTTGTTTAACTTTAGCTTGGCTTTCTCCTGTTAATGTGTCTCATGACAACTTAATTCTTAGACCAGTCAGAAGAACCTAGAAGGGCAGATGAAAATTTTTTTCTGTCTGACACAATCTTGATTAACCCTTGGGAGAAATAAACAACTTTGTTGTCTTATTTTAATGTTAATCTAAGTGAAACCATTAGAAGCAGCTGTTAGAAATATGTATATATGTAAAGAGAGAAGGAGAGCCCTCCCAACATGCACACATATAAGTACATACGTACAAATACATACCTGACACAGCCAAATTAAAAACATCACTTTTGAATTGTTAGCTATTTTAACTGTATATCTCTTTAATGGGACTTCCATGGTAGCTCAGCTGGTAAAGAATCTACTTGCAATGCAGGAGACCCTGGTTCAATTCCTGGATCGAGAAGATCTGCTGGAGAAGGGATAGGCTTCCCACTCCAGTATTCTTGGCTTCCTTAGTGGCTCAGCTGGTAAAGAATCCACCTGCAATGTGGAAGATCTGGGTTCAGTCCCTGGGTTGGGAAGATCCCCTGAAGAAGGACGGCTCCACCCACTCCAATATTCTGGCCTGGAGAATCCCATGGACGGTATAGTCCATGAGATCACAGAGCCGGAGACACGGAGCCACTTTCACTTTTCACTTTTTTTCCCTCTTTAGTGGACATTTACACTCTTTGACAGCCCAGTATCTGAGCTTGTCTATTCTGAAGTGTTTCTCACCGTATGAATTTTGATAATAGGCACAGCCCACCTCAGTATTCTTGCCTGGGGAATCCCAAGAACAGAGTAATCTGACAGGCTATGGTCCATAGGGTCACAAAGAGTCAGACCCAACTGAAATGACTTAGCATGCACACACAGCACAGCCTACCTACCTCTGTAGAATCTAGAAGAGAAAAAAACCAAACATACCTGTTTCAGCCTGTTTTGGTAATAGTGAATTGGCATATGATCTAAGCTGAGACTGATGCATTTATCTTTTACCTTGAATCAAGTTAGTAACCCAAAGAAATAAGGCCTGCAGGGTGCCTATTCTAGTTGTAGGCAGCTGCAGGAGCTGCAGCAGGATTGAATTTCAGGGTTAGTAACACTAGAAGATGCCAGAAGAGGTGGTTGTGCATAGTTCAGGAGCAGAGACGCTGCAGCCAGTGGGGCTCAGAGGTCACAGGTGCTGGCAGCGGTGTCCCTTTGAGACGAATCTGGTGCGGTTTTGACTGTGACACCGCAGCTGCTTAGTCTTCCTTGTTCCTGCCAGTTGCCAAACCTGCCTCCTCAGCCCTTTGGCAGATCTACCGGTTATCCAACTTCCTTTTAACTTATTTTCTATTTAAATTAACCAAAGATGCTTTCCTTTCTTGTAACTATGAATCCTAACTGGTATTCTTTCTTAATGTAAGTAGTTGAAAGTGAGTGTATTCAGTAAAACATTTAGACATAGAGTACTGCTTAGAGTAACATTGTTGCCTTAATAATAGTCTAAAATGTTTAGTTTAAGAAATTGCCTTTGACTTATACATCAGGATCCATTTTTACTTTCGTTGTGGTTTAGTGATAGTAGGCTGATAGAGCAATTGGTCTTGAATTCCTAATTAATTTTTTCTTAGGCAAATAGAAATGGGGATTATCTAGTACATAGAATTTGGTAAAAGCCATAAGATAATGTCCTGGATAATGGAAAATCAGCCTGGAATAAGTTCATTTGTTTTGTATATAAGAAGACTATATTTAGTTTTTGACTTATCCTTAATTATATTGATCTTTACAATGTAGAACTACTTATAAAATTGATGTTTCTATTTTCTCTTTATAATCTGGATTGTGAAGTTTTATTACAGCATCTTCTTATATTTCTGAACTTTGAAAAGTCGCTTTGTTTTCTGTGCCATAGTTTTTTAACTTTTGAAATGATGGAGAGTAAACTAATCTCAAAGGTCCTTTCTAGCATTAGCATTTGATGAGTTAATGAAATGTAATTTATTTCCTTTTTTTCCTAAAGTTTGAATGCCAACAGTATACTTATGAAGTAGCATGGAGCATGATAGATTGGATTTATTTTTCAGTGACCTCAAAGTGATCAATTTAAGACATCTGTTGGGAAATATGTTAAATAATAAGTTCAATAAGCAGCAGAGTCTAGGGATATTCAGAACTGTCCTTCATGTAGTTTATGAAAATCATTTGGAAAAATGAATAGCTCTGTTTATTCACAGTTAGCATGCTTAGAAGGAAGTAGAATGCCCTGATTTAAAATTTCAAAGCTAGAATTCTTGAATTTGAATCCTGGCTCTATCACTTATTAGCAGTGTGACCTTGGACAGATTAATTAACCTCTCTATGTCTAGTTTCTTCATCAGTAAAATGGGAGTAAAAATAGAACTTACCTTATAGAGTTGCTATGAAGATTAAATGAGTTTTTACATGTAAAGACTGAAGTATCTAGAATGATGCAAGATATATGGTACTCATTATTAGCAATTTTATTTTCATGTTATTGCATAATATATAACTAGGATACATTTTGTTATTTTATTTATAATTTTTAAATATTGAATTTGAGACCATAATTCATGTATGTCCAAAAGATACATTGTGCATATTTGCTTTTATTATCAATAAATGTTTTATAGCATTTCACTATTATTAATAGAGCAAATATTTTATAACTCTTAAATGCTGCATTATCATTGGGATTCAGTGCAGTTTTTGGCACGAAGATTATGTGGTCTGAAGCACATCCATAATGACTAGCAGTGTTTTAAAGAAGTTCTGAGGTTTCAGATACACGTAGCTAATGTAACTGAAGTTGCTCTAATAATAAACTTAACATTTCGTTAGATCCTATATAGATTTTTATCTTCTCTCTATTCTGTGTTAATTTTAGTAGAATATTGAATTACAAGGAAAGGCAAAGAAAATAGCAGTGTTGACCTAGAATATTGCTATCAGATAAGAGTGTTTCAGTGATACATTCTTTCCAATGCACTGATTTCTCTGCTTATCTTGATTTTTATAACTGATTTATTTCATTGTTAATTATTCACCATAGGTCTAGAGTCTGTTTTATTAGTTCTTGGATTTTTTATCCAGGAAAATTTTGTAAAACAGTATATATTTTATAAATAATTTGAGAACATTTTTATAGTTTCTTCTCAGAGAATAATTATTGCTACTTTTAGATTTTAATTCCAAATCTTCAATTCAGATAAAATGGCAGTTGTTTTAGAGACCATTTACTTAATCATTATAAAACAATCCTACTTCCCTTTTCAGGACCAGGGTTCTGATCAAGCAGGAAAGGAGAAAGCAGAAGGTAAAGAAAAAATATTTTTATTGTGTCTCATAGTGTTACAAGAACAGTGATATTTTGGAGCATTTTTCCAAGGTTAAGGTTAATAAATTCACCTGAGTGAAACTGGAAGACCATCTTAGTTTCTTCATTCTTATAGATAGCTTAATTAGCTACCTATTTTTCTCAGGCACAGAATTATGGAATATTGTTGATTCTTGTTGTCATCTACTTTCAATATATCCCAAGTCTGATCACTTCTCACAGTTAGTACTATTAGCCCCCTTATCCACATCATTATCATTTGTTGCTCAGGGTACTATAATAACCTTATAACCTATCTCCTACTTTTTGAAAATAGTGTTTTTTAAAAATAATTACATTGATTGTATAACATAGTAAAGTTGAGCATGTATCTTGCAAAAAGTGATATATATCCCAAGGAAACTTCCATAAGTGCAGCTTGAGATATGTGCATGTTTCTTTGGATCTTTGTTGTTGTTGAATAGCAAACAAAGAGAGAAGAAGAAAGACAGGAAGAAGAAGAAGGACAGGGTACAGGGGAGAGAGAAGGGAGCACCAAATAAATGTCCAGGAGCAGTAGAATGGTTAAGCAACTTGTGGTATACCCAAGGTATAGCAGTGAAAATGTATCATCTGCATGTAATTATTGTAGATAAATCTCAAAAACAGAATGTTGAGCAAATGAAGAAACTCACAGAAAAATACAAGCAGTGAGATTTCATTTACAAAATGTCCTAAAACAGTAAAAATATGTTCAGAGGTGCAAGTGAAAGTCACTCAGTAGTGTCTGACTCTTTGCAAGCCCATGGACTATATAGTCCTTGGAATTCTCCAGGCCAGAATGCTGGAGTGGGTAGCCCTTGCCTTCTCCAGGGGATCTTCCCAACCCAGGGATCGAACCCAGGTCTCCCGCATTGCAGATGGATTCTTTACCAGCTGAGTCACCAGGGAAGCCCAAGAATACTGGAGTGGGAAGCCTGTCCCTTCCTCCAGCGGATCTTTCTGAGCCAGGAATTGAACTGGGGTCTCCTGCATTGCAGGTGGATTCTTTACCAACTGAGCTACCAGGGAAGTCTCAGAGGTAGTAAAATTTAAAGAAAAGTTAAGGGAGTGATTGTGATGAAAGTAGGATATTTATTACCTCGTGAAATGATGCCTTATTGTAAATTTAACCTTTTTTTAAAAAATTATTACTACTGAGGCTGACTATCTTTTCATTCAGATTTTCTGCTTCATGAGATACATTTCCAGATATTTCTTTTTTATTTGGGTTATTTGTCTTTTCTTACTGTATTTTTGTATATCTAGGAATTCTTTGTCAGTTATATGTGTACTCAGCTTTTATTTTTACTTTCTGAATGATGTCTTTGAAGGAAAGTTCTCACTTTTAATGCCATTGAATTTATCAAAAATTTTTTCTGCTCTTTGTTTTATTCTTTTGTATTCTCTTCTTCACGCAATTGTTAGCATGATTTTCTTTTTTTAGAAAAACACAAGCCAGAATCTATCTTTCCTTAAAAACCTCAATAGCTTTTCATTACTTTTAGAATAAATCTGATTTAACCATAGCTTGACAATCCCAGGTGGTATAGTGGTAAAGAATCCGCCTGCCAATGCAGGAGATGTGGATTCAATCCCTGGGGTGGGAAGAGCCCCTGGAGTAGGAAATGGCAACTCACGTGACCATTATTCTTACCTGAGAAATTTTTTCTTGTCCTTGCATGGACAGAGGAGCCAGGTGGGCCACATGTGGGGCCACAGAGTCAGACATGATTGAGCAGCACGCATGCAACTATAGCCTCAGAGGACCTAAAGGATCTGCATTCTGCCTGCTTCTCTGACCTCATGTTTTACTACTCGCCATGTTGTTCATTGTATTTCAACCACAATGACTTTCTTTCTGCCACTCTTCTTCCCTTTCTCTGGAATAGTCTCCCTTGAGATATTTTGTGTCTGGCTTGTCAATATTTGGGTCTCAGCTAAAGTATCTGTTAGATTGCCTTTCTCTGATCACTACATCTAAATAGCTCCCCACCCTCCAGTTACTCTTTCTTCAGTATTCCCTTTTATTTATCACTCTTTTCAAAGTCTGGTATTTTCTTATAAATTTATTGATTCTGTTCTCTTCTCACACCACTATTAATATATATTCATAAAAGAGGGATCTTACCACTTTTAATCATTCTGTATCTCCTATGTCTAGAATTGTGTGTAACATAGGCACTTGATACTAAATAATCTATGAATGTAGTCTGTCTCCAGACTATTTTTTTAAAAATTAATGTTAAAACTATTTGCATCATTCTTTTGAACATTTATAAGAAAAGACTCATGACACTTTCCTAAAGGATTAACCTCTAGTCATGTCACTTTCTTACTCTTTGAAAATTTCATACCGTCCTTTGTCTCTTCAAGCCTCTCTTCCCCAACCCTGTTCTTTTTTCCTTCATACTAATTAGATGACCTTGTCTCATATTTCAAAAGAAGTAGAAGCTATCAGATGAGAATTATCTCACATTTCTACCACCAGTAGTATAGGAGGCTGTGAAATTTAGACTCTTTGGGCAAACTGCTAGTTTCATGGTTGACTTTAATTCATGTGTAAACATATAAAGTATGTCACAAGAATATAAAAATATTGTCATTTATTTGGTTGCATTATTGCTTTTAATTATTTATGATTCTGCCTGAAACCATATAATTGCTGCAATAACTTTCTATTTATAATTATTTTAGGAATATTTTGAAAAGAAAAGGTTAAAATCAAAAATGAAATTACTGGGAGTTTTATCCCCTGTCAATAATTCTACTGTCAGTTTAGACCTCCTTAACCTGTATATGGTAAATCAGATATCTTGCCAGAAGAAAACATCTGGTAAGTAAATTTTTCTAATACCATTTTTTAAATTTCATTGTGATTATAAGATTTAGTTTTCTAATAAGTGTAATTTTAGAACTCAAAAGGATGTGGAAGGGAAACTTTTAAAACTGAGTTGCCTGCTTAAATAAGATTTGTTAATTTTTGCTTAAAATCTCTTATTCCTTAATCCATTTATTTTTATTTTTAGTTTGTATAAATGTTATATAAAATTAATTTTATAAGGCATGGTTAGACTTATTACAGTGCAGCTGTTTCAGTTATTACATTATTCTGTCTTGGCAGTTAGTTACCAAAGTTCAGCTAAAGAGCAGGAAATAAATGTATTTGTTATCTTATACTATTTAGAGAATCTGTTTAAAAAGGAAGAGCTGAAAAGATTTTTTGTCTCAATGATTAGTTTCCTATCTCACAACTTAAATAATTTCTCAGGCATTCTTGGGGTGTTAATTGTAGTAGTCTTAATACTTCAAAATAAAGTTCATTTTGGCTTGCACTTTGATTCTTTAAGTAACTAGAAAAGGTTAATCAGACTATTTTTTTTCCTATCTCAAGGGACGTCTGTCTGATACTTAATTTTTAAAACAAGTGCTAAAATGAGAGCTTAAAAGAGTTCATAAATGATAGATAGAAATTGATTATAGTATTCTTAGTATCCCCTCTTTTCCTTTCTCTGTCATTTTTTGTTTCTCCCTCCACAGAGCTGTTTACACAAGTAAAAAAACTTTTACTGTAGTAAAAGTAAATACATAATTCATGGACTTTAGGAATAAAAGTTTTTGTTGTAAATCTGATTTTACTTTCTTCACTTATATAATACTGTTATCAACTATACTCACATTTTACATTAGATCTTCAGATTTTAATCATCATACAGCTCAAAGTTTGTGCCCTTTTGACAGCCTCTGCCTATTTCCCCTTCTCTCTCATCCTCAGCCCCTGGAAACCACTTTTCTACTCTGTGTTTCTATGAGTTTGACTTTATTTTTTTTTAAGAGGTAGAGGTTCCTCATGTAAGTGATACCATGCTGTATTTGTCTTTTTCTGTCTGGCTTATTTCACTTAGCATAATATTTTCAGGGTCCATCCATGTTGTCATAATTGGCAGGATTTTCTTCCTTCTCAAGGCTAAAGACTATTTTGTGTATACCCCACATCTTTGTTTTCCATTCATCCATTAACACACACTTAGGTTGTTTCCATATCTTGGTTATTATGAATAATACTTCAGTGAACATGAGAGTGCAGATTTGTCTTCAAGATCCTTTTTCGTTTCTTTTGGATATATATCCAGAAGGGGTATTGCTGAATCTTGTGTTAGTCTACTTTTAATTTTTTGAGGAACCACCATTCTGTTCTCCATAGTGGCTGAACCAGTTTACATTTCCACCAACAGTGCACAAGTGTTTCCTTTTCTCCACATTCTTGTCAGCACTTGTTATCCCTTATCTTTTTGATGATTCCTTCTGACAGGTTTGAGAAGATGTCTTATTGTGGTTTTGCTTTGCATTTTCCTGATGATTAGTGATATTGAGTATCCCTTGCCATTTGTATATCTTTTTTGGAAAAATTTCTATTCAAGTCCTCTGCCCATATTTAAATTAGTTTTTTTTTTTGCTAATGAGTTATGTGAATTCTTTATATATTGTGGATATTAATCCCTTATCAGATATGTGATTTGCAAATACTTTCTCCTGTTCCTTAGGTTGTCACCCCGCCCCCACCACCCCATTCAAGTTCATGTATTGAAATTCCAACTTGTAACGGTTCAGGAGGGACTTTTAGGAGCCCATTAGGTCATGAGGGTGGAACTCTCATGAATACAATTGTACCCTTATTAAAGAAATACCAACAACCTCAGATATGCAGATGATGCCACTCTAATGGTAGAAAGTGAAGAGGAACTCAAGATTCTCTTGATGAGGGTGAGAGAGAAGAGTGTAAAAGCTGGCTTAAACCTCACCATTCTAAAAATGAAGATCATGGCATCCAGTTTTATCACTGCATTGTGAATAGAAGGGCAGAAAGTAGATGTAGTGACAGATTTTCTTTTCTTGGGCTTCAAAATCACTGTGGACAGTGACTGCAGCCATGAAATTAAAAGACACTTGCTCCTTGGAAGGAAAGCTATGAGATGCCTAGACAGCATATTAAAAATCAGAGGTGTCACTTTGCCGACAAAGGTATGTATATAATCAAAGCTATGGTTTTTTCAGTAGTCATGTGCTGATGTGAGCGCTGGATGTAAAGAGTGCTGAGTGCCAGAGAACTGATACATTCAAATAAGTCAATCCTAAAGGAAATCAATCCTGAACATTCATTGGAAGGACTGATGTTGAAGCTGAAGCTCCAATACTTTGGGAAGAACCAAGTCATTGGAAAAGACACTGATGCTGGGAAGGATTGAGGGCAAAAGGAGAAAAAGGCAACAGAGGATGAGATGGTTAGATAGCATCACCAACTTAATGGACATGAATCTGAGCAAAGTCTGAGACAGTGAAGGACAGAGAAGCTTGGCATGCTGCAATCCATGGGGTTGCAAAGAGATGAACACAATTTAGTGACTGAACAACAACAACAACAAAATCCCAGAGAGCTCTTCCTCCCTTTCTACCATCTGAGAGCACAGTGAGAAGATGGTTGTCTGAGAAACAGGAAGCAGGCCCTCAACAGACACCAAATTTGCCAGCACCTTGATCTTGGACATCCCGGCCTCCAGACCGGGAAATAAATTTCTGTTCATAATCCACCCAGTCTATGGCATCCAGTTACAGCAGCCTTGAAAGGACCAAGGTACTTAACTAAAAAGTCAGTGGTGCAGCTGGGCTTCAGAAACTGCTTGAATCAGAGGCTTTGAATTCAATCAAGATTCTAGCTCACTTCAGATATTAGCTTCATTCTCTCAGACTGCCTTCATCATTGGGGCTTAAAACATTACCTTAAAAAAACTAACATTGCTCATCTTTCCTAGTTTTGCCATTAGAGAAATACTGAGAGATGTTTCACTGGTCCTGAACTTTTGAAAATTCCACTGAAGGATTTTGCCTTACCCCAGGTCTTAGCACTAGAACAATTACTCCTAACCAGAGGGAACAGTTCTTAATTCTTCTTGGGTTAGACGTGTACCCCTTCACCAATTATTTTTACCGAAAGGCAGGGTTTTATAAAATGGTGGAAAGTCTCCACTAGAACTGTATAGTTGATGCATGTGTAAAAAGCATTTCCCAGAAAAGAAAAGTTGTTACAAGTACTGAGCAGACAAACCAGAGACTTCTTCTATAAAGAGAGACAGATTCTGCTTCTATAAATTTTAAAAATCTAGTGAGGGAAATAGAGTTAATCAAGAACAACAAAGGATGGTAAGTGTTATAATAGAGAACCTATATAATGCTATGAGAATGTGTAAGACAACATCTGATATGGTCTGGGTGTCAAGGAAGTATTAGAGGAAGAAAGAAGTAGAAGGGATTTAGTAGAACCCCTTTCAAGAGGAGTATATAAGATGATAAAGTAAAAAGAATGATTCAAAATATCTGAGATAGTATTGTAATGACGTCTAGCATATATAGAATACAGGTGGTTTCAGTAAATTTCTAAAATGTGCATTTATTTAATGAACATAGTATATCAAATGATGCTTTAAAAAGATTTTATTTTTCTTACAATTTTTTATAATTATATTTTTTTTCATTCTAGAAACTGTGAGAAAACCAATGCACGTGAATATGAATAAAGACATAAAAATGCCTCTAAGAAAGCATGATATAGAACTTCCAATGTCACCTAACTGTGTGCCGTCTAATCTCTGCATTGATGATATAGAAAACAAGTAGGTTTTAGCTAGGTTATATTAATGTATCTATCTGATGTATATGTTACAGTAACATATAATATAGCATCATATATTATTATATATTATTTAAATGGTCATTATTGTTTTACCATTTTATTTGCTGGAAGGTATACAGAAGATTTATTCTTCTATAATAGCTCCAGTTTTTGTTTGTTCAGCTGTTATAATATCATTAAACTATTAAGACATTTATCAAATGACCAAATGTCCATACTAAGTTTTTTGTACACTTAGTTTGACTTTCTTTTTCATAAAATATCTCTCTTATAACAATATAATTTTTAGAAAACTCAATATTATGATCTGGAATGAATAGAGTTACTTAGAGTTCCATATGTTTTCATGTATTTGTATATAACAGTGTAAATTTTAAATAGATATATAAAGATGGTCAATTTTATTGCCAGCTATATTTTTAATCTTAAAATTTTATTTTTGTTAGTGTATACTGTCAAACACTAGACACCAAGGAAGAACTTGAGCCAGTTCAGGTGAGGTGTTTTAAATTAAATTTTATTATTTTGATAGTTGTGATATGCCAACAAATGACATAACTTTTTCAAATACTGGAAAAACTTACTATTTATAATTATTCTTTTCAAAGTTTTTAATATAAAGAACCTGCACCTTAATATTTTAACCAATTGCTTATGAGAAACATTTTGGAGTTCTGATAAGGTAGATGAGGCCTGTGTGTGTAACATTTGCTTCTGCTTGTTACTGACAAGCTGTAAAGGATAGTTCATTTGGAGATTCCTGTTTTTGGTTCATGTGATCATTAGTAATTCATCTCTTCACACAGTGATCAGATTGTTTGATTTCATATGAAACTATTATTTTCTATAGTCTTGTTGATCCTAGGATTATTTTTCAAAGTATTGCAAATGATTAATTTTTTTAGCAAATTTTAATTTTTAAAAATTTTATTTACTTATTTTTTAATTGAAGTATAGCTGATTTACAATGTTGTGTTTGTTTCAGGTATACAGTATAGTGCCTTAATTATATATATATATTTAAATTTTTTCCTTTATTATTGTTGCTCAGTAGCTCAGTCGTCTCCAACTCTTTGTGATCCCATGGACTACAGCACACCAGGCTTCCCTCTCCTTCACTCTCTCCCAGAGTTTGCTCAAACTGTTGTCCATTGTGTCAGTAGTGCCATCCAACCAAGCATCTTTTAATTTCATGGCTGCAGTCACTGTCTACGGTGATTTTAGAGCTCAAGAAAAGGAAGTCCGTCACTGTTACCAATTTTTTTCCCATCTATTTGGCATGAAGTGATGGCATTAGTTTTTTGAATGTTTTTCTTTATAGGTTATTACAAAATATATATTTTAAAGTATTTGTTTATATATTTACTTGGAAGCATCAGCTCTTACTTGCAGCACACAGGATCTTCACTGAGTCGTGTGGGATCTCTTGTTGAGGCCGTGGACTCAAGTTGTGGCATGTGTGTTCTTCATACGGGCTCTGGAGCACATGCACTCTAGTAGCAGCATGCAGGGTTAGTTGCTCCACAGCTTATGTGACCTTAGTTCCTGGACCAAGGATCAGATCCATATCTCCTGCATTGCAAGGTGGATTCTTAACCCCTGGACCACCAAGGAAGTTTCAGTTATTGCAAAGTATTGAGTATAATTCTCTGGGCTATCCAGTAGGTTCTTTTTGGTTATTCACTTTGTATATAGTAGTGCCTGGGTGCTCAGTCACTCAGTCATGTCCGTCTGATTCTTTGTGACCCACATGGACTGTAGCCCACCAGGCTTCTCTGTCCATAGAATTTTCCAGGCAAGAATACTGGAGTGGGTTGCCATTTCCTCCTCCAAGGGATCTTTCCGACCCAGGGATCGAACCCATGTTTCCTGTGGCTCCTGCATTAGAAGCTAGAATCTTTACCACTGAGCCACTTGGGAAGCATATAGTAGTGTGTATATGTTAATCCAAACTTCCTAATGTACCACTCCCCACTTTCGACTTTGGTAACTGTAAGTTTGTTTTCTATGTCTGTGGGTCTATTTCTCTTTTGTAGATAAGTTCATTTGTATCTATTTTTTTAGATTCCATTTACAAGTGATATCCTGTGATATTTGTCTTTCTCTGTCTGGATTACTTTTCTTAATATGGTTATCTCTAGATCTATCCATGTTGATGCAAATGGCATTATTTTGTTCTTTTTTATAACTGAGTAAATATATATATAATAATTTCTCTTTCTGATCATCCATTGTGAGTGTATAGAAATGCAATAGATTTCTCTGTGTTAATTTTGTATCCTGCAACTTTACCACATTCACTGATGTGCTCTAGAAGTTTTCTGGTAGCATCTTTAGGTCTTTCTATGTATGAAAGTGAAAATCTCTCAGTCATGTCCGACTCTTTGCGACCCCATGGACTGTACAGTCCATGGAATTCTCCTGGCGGAATACTGGAGTGGGTAGCTGTTCCCTTCTCCAGGGGATTTTCCCAACCCAGGGATCAAACCCAATGTGGGATCGCCCACATTGTGGGTGAATTTTTTTACCAGCTGAGCCACCAGGGAAGCAAATATAGTGTCATGTCATCTGCAAATGGTGACAGTTTTACCTCTTCTTTTCCAATTTGGATTTTTTTTTTAATTTCTCTTTCTTTTTTGACTGTTATGGCCAGGACTTCCAAAACTACACTAGTAAAAGTGTGGACATCCTTGTCTTATTCCTAATCTTAGAGGAAATGTGTTGAGTATGATGTTTATTGTGGGTTTGTCATATATGGCCTGTTCTATGTTGAGATATGTTCCCTCTATTCCCACTTTCTGGAGAGTTTTTATCATAAATGGATATTGAATTTTATCAAAAACTTTTTCTGCATTTATTGAGATAGTCATGTGACTTTTATTCTTCAGTTTGTGAATGTGGTATTTTACACCGATTAATTTGTGGATATTGAAAAATCTTTGTATCCCTGGGGTAAATACTACTTGATCATGGCATTTGTTGTTCAGTCACTAAGTCGTGTTTTACTCTGCATCCCATGAATTGCAGCATGCCACGCTTCCCTGTCCTTCACTATCTCCCGGAGTTTGCTCAGACTCATGTCCACTGAGACTGTGATGCCATCCAACCATCTCATCCCCTGTCACCCCCTTCTCCTCCCGCCTTCAATCTTCCCCAGCATCAGAGTCTTTTCAGTCAGTTCTTTGCATCAGGTGGCTAACATATTGAAGCTTCAGCTTCAGCATCAGTCCTTCCAATGAATAGTCAGGGTTCATTTCCTTTAGGATTGACTGGTTTGATCTTGCAGTCCAAGGGACTCTCAAGAGTCTTCTCCAGGACCACAATTCAAAAGCATCAATTCTTCAGCACTCAGCCTTCTTTATGGTCCAGCTCTCACATCCATACATGACTACTGGTATATGATCCTTTTAATGAATTGTTGGGTTCAGTTTGCTGATATTCTGTTGAGGAATTTTCATCAGTGATACTGGCCTGTAATTTTCTTTGGGGGAGTACCTTTGTCTGTTTTCTGTATTAGGGTGATGGTGGCTTCATACCATGAGTTTGGAAGTGTACCTTTTTCTGCAGTTTTTAAAATAGTTTCAGAAGGATAGATGTTAACTTTTCTCCCAATGTTTGGTAAAATTCATGTGTTAAGTTATCTGGTCCTGGACTTTTGTTTGTTGAAAGTTTTTAAGTTACAGGTTCAATTTCAGTACCTAAGATTGGCCTGTCATATTTTCTATTTCTTCCTTGTTCATTCTTGAGCAAGTGTACCTTTTTAAGAATTTGTAAACCTGGGTCTCCTGCCTTGGAGGCTGATTCTTTACCGTCTGAGCCAGCAGGAAAACCCAGCCGTCTCTTGTGGTCTGTATTTCGGTGGTGTTGGTTGTAACTTCTTTCTCATTTGCTAGTTTTACTGATTTGGGGCTTCCCTGCTGGCTCAGACAGTAAAGAATCTGTCTGCAGACCCTGGTTTGATTCCTGGATCAGGAAGATCCCCTGGAGAAGGAAGTGGCTAGCCTCTCCAGTACACTTGCCTGGAGAATTCTATGGACAGAGTAGTCTGACGAGCTACAGTCCATGAGGTCACAGAGTCAAACACAGCTGAGTGACTAACACTTTCACTGTATTGATTTGGACCCTTTTGCTTTTTTCTTGATGACTCTGAGTAAGGTTTATCAATTTTGTTTATCTTTTCAAATAACTAACTTTTAATTTTTTGATTTTCTGTTGTTTTTTAGTGTCTACTTCATTTATTTTCTTCTCTGAGACTTACGAATTCTTCTACTAATTTTGGGTTTTGTTTATTCTTCTCTCTCGAGTTGCTTTAGGTATAAGATTAGATTGTTCGTTTGAGATTTTCCTTGTTTCATGATGTAAACTTATATCACTGTAAGCTTCCCTCTTAGAGCTACTTTTAGCAAATAAAATTGTTTTCAATTAGAAAATGAACAGATTGTGATTAAAGTTTGAAATACTAAGATCTAAGGCTATAGTAATGTTTATCCTTTCTTTTCTTTAAATTGCTGAAGTTAACGACAGAAAGGTAAAAACAGTGATATAAAATCTCTTGAAAATCTTATCAACTGTGCTGTGTATTAATGAAACTGAGGCTTTCCATTTTTAGATGTCATGTAGTAGGGAACTTGAGGGTGGAGAGGACCAAGGATGATAAAGTCCAGTGAAAAGGAACTTTTCAGTATAATCTTAGCTGATAAACTCTCTGGTCTTGAGTCTTGTCAGTTGCTGATTGACTTGCCTTTCTTTCCTTGGAACTTTTTCTGCATTTCATGACCTTTTTTGCTTCTTATTTTTCACTTTTCTCATCTCTCGTTTATACATTTTGGCAAATCAAGTGATTGTGTCTTTCCTGTATTTATCACAAGTCATGGGCTCATATAGAATGTTTTAACCTCAGTTCAACAGAATAGAAAACTGCATTTTCACTCCACTATCTTTTTCAGCAGAAGTATCTTCCAGTGGAAATAGTACAAAACAAAATTTCGTTCCCAGAATAGTACCTAGTCTTCAAAAAGTTGCATATAGAAAGAGGCAGGATGAATAAGTGTCTTTGAATTGAAGGTTCTTAGCATTTTGATACCATTATATTTTATGATATGTTCTTTTCTTATTTATAGATTTTAAAATATTAGTTGTAACTTGCAGTAGATATAGTCACAATAGGATATAAATTAGGTATAAAGTTCCTCTTAGGTCAAAAACTTAATTTTCTGCACTATAGGAGATTATGAATTCAAAAACTGAAATGTTTAAAAATCTTTGAAAAAAATCATTTTTTTAGTAAAATTGATAGTGAAACTGAAAACCGTTCAGTGTGTTACATAATAGTATGATGATTATAATCACAGTAAATAAATAGTTGGTGATGTCATGGTGGCCCAGTAAATGTGTTATAGAAAGGATCCTGTGAATAGTGATATATAACCTCAGTGATATCATAGTAGCCTATTAAGTATGAATTGTGATGACTTGATTCTTTCCGTGATTTGACAGATGCCAACTGGTATATGCATTTCAATTATAATTACACAAATATGTAGAGATGTGTAATGCCAAAATGTTTAATTATTTTATGTGCTAAGGTTAAGAACACTAAAAATTCAAAATTTAAAATTCTGAAATATATCTTCCATAGAAAATGCCAAGAAGTGATTTTCTATTAAATTTACATAGATTTTTAAAATGAAATTATTAAGATTACTGTGTGTGTGCTTGTGCTTAGTCAGTCAGTCGTGTCTTACTTTTCGTGACCCCATGGACTGTAGCCCGCCAGGCTTCTCTGCCCATGGTATTTTTTTTTTTTCATTTATTTTTATTAGTTGGCGGCTAATTACTTCACAACATTGCAGTGGGTTTTGTCATACATTGACATGAATCAGCCATGGATATACATGTATTCCCCATCCTGATCCCCCCCCCACCTCCCTCTCCACCCAGTTCCTCTGGGTCTTCCCAGTGCACCAGGCACGAGCACTTGTCTCATGCATCCCACCTGGGCTGGTGAACTGTTTCACTATAGATAATATACATGCTGTTCTCTCGAAACATCCCACCCTCGCCTTCTCCCACAGAGTCCAAAAGTCTGTTCTGTACATCTGTGTCTCTTTTTCTGTTTTGCATATAGGGTTATCATTACCATCTTTCTAAATTCCATATATATGTGTTAGTATACTGTAATGGTCTTTATCTTTCTGGCTTACTTCACTCTGTATAATGGGCTCCAGTTTCATCCATCTCATTAGAACTGATTCAAATGAATTCTTTTTAACAGCTGAGTAATATTCCATGGTGTATATGTACCACAGCTTCCTTATCCATTCGTCTGCTGATTGCCCATGGTATTTTCCAGGCAAGAATACTGAAATGGGTTGCCATTTCATCCTCTAGGGGATCTTCCTGACCAGAGATTGAACCTGTATCTCTTGTGTCTCCTGCATTCCTGGCAGATTCTTTACCTGCTGAGCCATCAGGGGTTATTGTATTAATATATAATGATAGTGAGGAAAATGGTTATATAAATGCTGTGTCTTATTAGCAGGAATATTTATTTTGAACTCCTCCCAATTTTAGCATGTAGTGGTTTATGCCATATTTGTGTTTTATAAATTAATTTATAATTATAAATTTATTATAGTTATGCTATTTTATAGCTATGTAATATATATCATGATTCACTTTTATTAAAGTATGTTTTCTGTTTTTCAGAAAAGAAAAATTGAAATACTGATATTATGTTTCATTGATATGTGTTAGCCTTATTAATTTAAGAACCTAGTAATTTTTGAAGGATGCAGTGAAAAATATTCAATTATCCTTTCGGTTTGTATTTTACAAGACTAAAACTTGCATCCTAGATCTGCTTAAAACTCATGCTTATTTTTTTAAATAATTTATAGGCTAGAGAATGAAATGCTCTGTAATCTAAATATAATCTCCTACTTATAGATTATAGATTAGTGATTATCTGCAGAAGGATAAATAATGCTATACTTAATAGAGCAGAAGACAGCAACAAGAGTCTTTTGTACCTGTCCAAGGCATATTGTCACATTGTAAAGTTTTAGTGAAGTATTTAATAGTTTATTTGGAGGGATTTGAAGAAAAGTGAAAAGAACTGAAATGAAATTATAAGATACAAAGGAAAGTTAATTGAAAAAAAAGTTAGAAAAAATCTGATCTGGGACTCACTGCTCGCTGCCCTGGAGAAGTTACTATTTGAGCCAGTATATAATATCCCTCTCTTTCGATGTGTTTGTGTGTCACTCGCTCTCAGGGACAAATTTGTCTTTGTGCCTCTGTCGCTCTCTCTGAGACTGAGATGTGCGAGGTATTATCAGACTTTATCTTCGGCTTTCCCTTACTTTACACCTTTATATTTTTTTGAAGCCTTTCAGTATCTCTTTTTGTCTCCCTCTCTTTTTTTATCTGTTTCTGTCATTGATTTTCTATGGACTTATCTCTATGTTTCATGGTTTACAGATAAATAAATATATACTGCAGATGTAAATTATTACTGCTGGATAGATTAATGTTGAGCCAATAAAATAGCTTATGATACTTTACACATTAATAAATGGATTATTTCAGTTGCTTTTCTCAATAGTCTTCCAATCCTTTCTGCATTTTGCACTCAATGATATTGATATTCAGAAATATTAAAGTAGCAGTCTAAAATTTTACTCAGTAGATGGAAAAACTGAGTTAAGTACAGCTTTTTTCTTGGGAGAGGTTATGTGATTTCTATGAGAGAAATTTAACTTTTATTTACTCAAGATCCCGGTGTTCTGGGTATTTTTTAACCAGTGAAAAAATATTTAGCTTACCATAGTATCAACCGTATTATTTTAATAATCACTCAAATACTGATATGCTTTCATTGTTAGAAACTATTTTATTTTCAACTAGGATGCAGTTATTCTCTTTTAGATTAAAATACATTTTTTGAATATATGTGTATTAACTTAAATGGCATCTTATGGTAAATAATTTAAATTGTTTATCTGTACATTACCATTTTGGCAGCTCTTCCTTTCTTTTTCAGCTCAGTAATGTTAATTATTCTCATTCCTTGGTTTCTAAATTAAATGACAATCAAGATACTTTCAATCCATCATGTGAAACAGCACAATCTGGACCATTATTTGAAAGATTAAACAGGTAAGCAAAGATGTTGAAGGTAATAAAGAACCTGTAGCATTTATTTCTTAAATTATTAATTTGCTTTTAACAGACACTATTTTTAGTTAGAGATGTAAACAGACCTAAATATTACTGCTAGAAAAAAAAAACACTATCAATAAAATATAGTATTTCATTAAATCACTTTTAAGTAATTATTGTCGAATTGACCTTTAACTGATTTATTTTTAAAAATATTTGGGGCCAAGGTGTTTTGCACCTGTTTTATAATTTCCATGAATTACTAGTTTCCTTTACTGTGTCATATTGTATTAACTTCTTTTTCATATCTGGTAATTGATCAGTGCCCTGTTTTTATTTTATAGACGTATGTATATAAACCCTAGTTCTTTTTTAAAAAATCCACTGAACTTGTCAAACCAGTTTGAATTATTTCTTGTTAATTGTGATGAGAAACCTTGACTCTGTAATCTTATCCAAGTCTTCATATTAGTAGATAGCACCACTATTCACTCAGTTGCTTAAGCCAAAATAAAAGTTGTCCTTGATTTCTTCCTTTTCTTCATCTCTCAATATACATTTCACCAGCAAAGTATTGTCATTTCTGCATTCTAAGAAACCTTAATATTATTTACTTATGTTTTCGTCTCTAAGGGTTCCATCCCACTCTAAGCAAACACTGCTTCTTGCCTGGAGAATTGTAAAAGCCACAAAACACTTCTTTTTTCTCTTTGTTCTGAGATTTTTTTTTAACAACTTTATTAATGTATAATCAACACATAACAAACTGAACTTACCTAAAATGTGCACTTTGGTAAGTTTTGGCATATTTTAAAAATAATGAACTTATTCATCGTCTCCTGTAGTTTCTTGGGCACCTTCGTAAATCAATTCTTCTGGTCATTTCACATTGCTTACTCCCATCCCAAGGCAACTGTTGATCTGATATCTGTTACTATTGATTAGTCTGTAAGTGGCATTATACAGTATGTTTTCCCATCTTTGGTTTATCTTTTTTCACTCAGCATAATTGCTTTAAGATTCATCTTTGTTGTTTATTGTGTGTATCAGTAAGTCTATTTCTCTTTATTTCTGAGTAGTTTTCCATTGTATTAATATAGCAAAATTTATTCATCTGTTGATGGACAGTTGGGTTTTTTCCTCCCAGTTTTGGCTATTCCAAAATAAAGCTACTATGAACATTCCTGTTGAAATCTTGTTTGAACATATGCTTTCATTCTGTTGGGTAAGTATCTACGGGGCTTCCCTCATAGCTCAGTTGGTAAAGAATCTTCCTGCAATGCAGGAGACCCAGGTTTGATTCCTGGGTTGGGAAGATTCCGTGGAGAAGGAAATGACAACCAACTCCATATTCTTGCCTGGAGAATCCCATGGACCGAAGAGCCTGGCAGGCTACAGTCCATGGGGTTGCCCAAGAGTCAGATACAACTTAGCGACTAAACCACCACCAAATACCTACATGTGGAATTGCTGGTGTATGTTTAACATTTTAAGAAACTGGCAGACATGTTTCCCAAGTGATTTGTGTCATTTCTACATTCCTATCAGCAAAGAATGAGAGTTCGACTTGCAGTACATCCTTGACACACTTGGTATGGTTAGTCTTTTAAAATTTATGCTACTTTAGTCAACATGTAATGGTATCATATTGGGGTTTTAATGATGTTGGCATCTTTTCATGTGCTTACTAATCATTTATGTATGTTTGGTGAAATGCTTAGCCTTTTCATTTTCTTAATGGTGTCTTCTTGACATTAACCTTTTTTTTTAAACAGAGGTTTTAATTTTGATGAAATGCAGTTAATTTTTTATTTATGAATCATGCATATGGTGTCAAAGCTAACAAGTCTTTGCCTGAGGCAAGGTTATGAAGATTTTCTCTTATGTTTACTTCTGTCTTGTGGTTGTCAATATGACATTTTCCACTTTGAGTTAATTTTTTATGTATGGTGTGAGGATCATAAGGATATGGTGTGATGAAATAAGGGAACTATTCTCATCATTTGCATTTATGGAAAGAAAAGAATATCTTTACCCCATTGAGTGCTTTGAGATGTTGAAAATTAATTGACAAAAGTATAAATTATTTTCCCCTGTAATCTCATTTCTGTTCTATTGAAAAATCATGTCTGTTTTTATGTCTGTCACAAAAAATCATGTCTGTTTTTATGTCTGTCACACTGTTTCAACTACTAAAGCTTTACTGTAAGTTTTGAAATTGGGAATTGTATTAGTCCTCCAATTTATTCTTCTTTTTCAAAAATGTTTTAGCTTGCCTTAGTCCTTTGCATTTTCATATGAATTTTAGGAGCAGCCTGTCCATTTCTGGGGAAAAGGAAGTTTAATTTGATTTTTATAGGGATTGTTTTGAATCTATAGACCAATTTTGGGAAAATTTTAACATTTTAACAATAATGGCATTTCTAATCCATGAATATGAAATGTTTCTCCTAGTCAATTTTTGTCATATGTATGTCATAAGAGCTTTATTCTTAATAGTCCCAAACTTGAACTAACCCAGATGTCCATTAAGAATGTTATATAATATTCATATAATGGAATAGTACACAGAAATTAAAAAAGTGAGCTGCTAATATATGTCATAGCAAGCAAGAATATGCATAAATCTCAATACAAAAAGATAATCACTGTATAATTTAATTTACATGACTTTCAGACAACAAGCAGAATAGTGGTTACTTTTTGGAGGTATGAACTTAGAGGGCATGAGAGAACTTTCCAGTGTACTTGAAGTGACCTTTTCTTTCTCTTCAGCTTTATTGACCTATAATCTGATGAGTAAAAATTGTATGTATTTGTCTGCTCTGATCATTTAATAGGCATACACATATTCGAATGATTACCATAATCAAGCTAATTGACACATCAGTCACCTCACATAGTTACCATTATTATATGTATGGTGAGACCATTTAAGATCTATTCTGTTAACAAATGTCAAGAGTAAATGTAGCGTTAAGAACTATAGTCACCATGTTGTACATTAGATCCCTAGAGCTTATTCATCTTGTGACTGGAAATTTGTACACTTGGACCAATATCTCTCCATTTCCCCCACTTTCTCAGTCCCTAGCACCCATGATACTACCCTCTGCATGTTTTTAATTTGGGATTCTACATTTAAGTGAGATTTTGCAGTATTTTTCTCTGTCTGGTTATTTCACGTAGCATAATATCCTCCCTGTTCATTCATGTTGTCATAAATAGAAGAATTTTTATTTTTAGGGATGAATAATATTCCATCTTATTTAACATCCTTTCATTTTTTCTCAGTAATTACAATAGCATTCCATGTAATGAAATTAATTACAGTAGCTGTCAATAAGCCTCATGCTTACATTGTTAAATAAGTATTTTATTCTTTTTATGCTGTTATGAATGGAATTATTTTTATTTTTTAAAACTTTTTTGAGGTATAGTTGATTTACACTTGTTAATTTCTGCTGTATAGCAAAATGACACAGTTAAAATATATATTTCTTTTTTATCTTCTTTTCCGCTATGGTTTATTACAGGTTATTGAATATAGTTTCCTGTGCTATACAGTAGGACCTTGTTGTTTATTCACCCTATATATATTAGCTTGCATCTACTAATCCCAAACTCCTAATCCTCCTCTCCCCCAAGCCCCACTTGGCAACCACAAGTCTGGTCTCTGTGTCCATGAGTCTGTTTCACAGATAGGTATGTTTGTGTCATATTTTAGATTCTACATATAAATGATATCATATGGTATTTGTCTTCCTCTTTCTGACTGACTTTGCTTAGTGTGATAACCTCTAGGTCCATCCGTGTTGCTGCAGATGGCATTATTTCATTCTTTTTATGACTGAGTAATATTCCATCATATATATTTAATATATATCTTTTTATCCATTCCTCTGTCAGTGGACATTTAGGTTATGTCCATATCTTGGCTATTGTAAAGAGTACTGCTACAAATATAGAGGTGCATGTATCTTTTGAATTATAGTTTTATCTGGGTATATGCCCAGAAACGAGATTGCTGGATTGTATGGTGGTTCTATTTTTAGCTTTTTAAGGAGCCTGTCCATACTGTTTTCCACAGTGCTGCACCAAATTACATTCCTGCCAGTAGCAAAGGAGGGTTCCTTTTACTACACACCCTTTCCAGCATTTGTTTGTAGACATTTTAATGGTGACCATTCTGACTGCTGTGAGGTCAGAAGTTTTGATTTGCATTTCTCTAATAGTTAGAGAATCTTTTCATGCACCTGTTGGCCATACATATGTCTTCTTTGGAGAATTGTCTATTTAGGTCTTCAATTGGTCTTTTTAGGTCTTTTTCAATTGGGTTATTTATTTCTTTGTTACTGAATTGTAAGAGCTGTTTTTCTATTTGGGAAGTTAATCCCTTGTCAGTTGTATCATTTGCAAATATTTCCTCCCAGTCTATATGTTGTCTTTTCATTTTGCTTATGGTTTCTTTTGCTGTGCAAAAGCTTGCAAGTTTGATTAGATCCCATTTGTTTATCTTTGCTTTTATTTCTGTTGCCTTGGGAGACTGACCTAAGAAAATACTGGGTACAATTTATGTCAATGTTTTGCCTGTGTTCTCTACTAGACATTTTACAGTATCTTGTCTTATATTTAAGTCTTTAGGCCCCTTTTGAGTTTATTTTTGTGTAAATTGGAAGGGTGTGCTCTTAACTTCATTGATTTCTGTATAGCTGTCCAACTTTCCCAGTACTACTTGCTGAAGAAACTACCCTTTCCCCATTGTGTATTCTTACCTCCTTTGTCAAAGATTAACTGTCTGTAGTTGCATGGGTTTATTTCTGGGCTGTCTACTCTGGTGTATTGATCCACATGTCTGTTTTTGTGCCAATCACATGCTGCTTTGATTACTACAGCTGTGTATTATTATCTGAAGTCTAGGAGAGTTATGACTCCTGCTCTGTTCTTTTCCTCAGGATTACTTTGGCAATTCTGGGTCTTCTATAGTTCCATATAAG